GCGCGGCGGCCACAAAAAGGGGGCAGGTTTTTGTTAAGGAGGGGCATGGCTGCCAGGGGTCGCGCGGCGGGTCATTCGGCCGTTGTCCGGTTCATTGGCAATCCTCACCATGTAGAGCACGTGGGGCACAGCGGGAGTCATCGGGCTCCCCCCGCCGCTTTTGAAGTGAGGGCGCGAGGGGTTGGGGGGGGATGAAGAGGGCGTGTGAAGGCAGTGATGAGGGTTATGATGGTAGGCGCCCCAGCCATTCACAGTCTGGCAAGTGCGCCCCAGGATGCGTTCGCTTCGAGTGGAACTCGCGCGCCAGGGTGGCAGCGCCCTGCGCGACCCGCCACCCGTTGCGTTGCGCAGCTGGTGCTTCCAGCGCAACAGGGGCGCAGGGCAATTGGGTCGCGCTCGCTCGTTCGAGCTGTCCGCCTCGGGCCCTGCCCAGCCCCCCGCGAAAGCCCCCTACTCATGCTCGTCGCGCCCCCCGCTCCGCCCCCCCCCCGCCAGGCCCAATTATTTCGCGCGCTGCCCCCGGCGCCCCGAAGAGTCCGCAATAGGTAGGGGCAGTGAAATCGCCCTCCGCGCGTGCCACCCCTGGCAAACAGGGGTCGCCAAATCCCGCTTCGCGCGCGGGGCGCTGGCGCCCAGGCGCCGCGGGCAATCCGAGCAGGCTTCGTCGTTCCAGCGCAGGCGGTCGCGGTCCAGGCGCAGCGGCCGCGAAACAGGGGCGATGTTTTCGTCAAGGGCGGGCGCCGGCGATAGGGTTTGCGCGGGGGGGCGGCGTTTGTTATTCATCGGCAACCCCCGCCGTGCAACGCGCGCGCGGGGCGCGGCGGGAGTCTGCGGCCCTTGGCGGCGCCCTTGAACGCGCGACATCGCGCGTTCGTTTGGTTGAGGACGTGCGGGGGATGCGGGGGCGGTGGGGATGGGGGGGAGGTGAGGTGGGGTGGGGTGGGGCGGGGCGGGGTGGGGTGGGGTGGTGTGTGCGTGTATGTGCGTGCGCGCGTGCGTGCGTGCGTGTGTGTGTGTGTGTGTGCGTGCGTGCGTGTGTGCGTGTGCGCGTGTGTGTGTGTGTGTGCGTGTGTGCGCGTGTGCGCGTGCGTGTGCGTGCGTGTATTGGGGGGTGGGGGATGGCGAGAAGGGTGCTCGACGTCGCGGCCGGGCCCCGTCGGGCAATCGCGCCGCGGCAAACGATCGTTTCGAGTGGAAGGCGCGCGTCAAGGCGGCGCCCCCCCGTGCATGCGGCAAACTGCCTATTGCGCCGCGTCCCTTTTCCAGTGCAAATGGTTCGTGGGGCAATGGGGGGTGCGCCTGCTCGCTCGAGCCGCGCGTCTTGACCCTCGCCCCCCGCCCCCCCTTTCTTTCCCCCTTCAGAAAAACAAGCAGAACTTCATGTTCATGGTCGTCGTGCGTTCGGCCCGGGTCGAACTATCATGTTCGCTGCTTCCAGTGCTTCCATGGGTCCGAAGGGGGGGGGGCAGGGGGGGCAGGCGGGTGGGCGGGGCGGGCGGGTGGAAGGGGGGGATCACACGTGAAATCAGGGGTCGCCGATTTCTGCCTTGCGCGCGGGACGCGGGGCTCTGGCATGCGGGCGTCGCAGAACGTCCACGTGGACATGTTCAGTCTATGTCGGCACCCGAGGCTCTTGTGGGTCGACCTGAAGTCGCCCATGACAGGTTTGGTCGCGCGCCGGTTTCGTTCGGCGCCCTCCCCCCTCCCCCTGTTCAGTGCCCAACCGCATTTGGCGCATGTTCCTCGCCCCCACTTCCTCTTCATGTGCCCCTCCCCCCCTGTGCCGCCCGCGATTGCGGGGGCGGGGGCGGGCGGGGTTGGGCGCGAGAGTCATTGCCCGCGTCCCGGTTTGCTTTCGCGCTTCCCGCCCCCGCGCGGGGGCGCCGCCTCTGCGCTTTGGCGCTCGAGGCGCCCGGAGTTTCATAAAAAATGCACCGCCCCCTTTTTCCCTTCCCGACTCCGCCTCGGGGTGAGGATGAGGAGAAAGGGTTTGGGCGAGGGGGGGGGGGGGGGGGCGGCGGCGCAGGGCGGGGGGCGATGACGGCGAGGACGAGGCAAGGGATGATGTGGAAGGGGGGAGGTCGAGCAGGGAGACAGGGCGACGCCAGGGGCGAAAGACAGCGGGAATGACAGCGACAGCGCCGAGCGGGATGGGGATGGGGGCGACGCGGGCGACGAGCAGGGAATTCTAAACGCTTCGCGCGACGCCACCAGCTCATCCAGCAACGATGCCCAGGCGAGTTGCACTGGTTAGGGAAAGAGGGGGGCGCGCAGAAGAACCAAAGGACCGCCGTGCCCCTTAGAAAGGGGGGAAGGGGATCGGGGAAGGACGAGATGGAGGAGGCAGGGATGAGGGGGGGAAGGGAAGGGGGGGGGGGGGCGGGGAAGTGGAGGGGGGCGAGGAGGGGTAGGGGGGTGAACGACCAGAGAGGATTTGTTTTTCCAGTGCGCCGCTGCCGACCAAACTCCAGAGTGCAAGAGATGCAGGGGTTGCCAAACGACCAGAGAGGAGGAGGAGGAGGAGGAGGAGGAGGGGGAGGAGGAGGAGGAGGAGGAGGAGGAGAAGGAGGAATCGGTAGGACAGCATCGAGGAAGCGGGGGGCGAGCAAAAAGGCCAAAGGCCCTTTGGATGCCTTTTCGGGGTGTCTTCGGATGTCTCTTGGGAGCTCCCCGGGGGCCTTTTGGGGCATCTTGGGGGGCCTCTTGGCGGCCCAGGGGCTTGGGTGCCTCGGGGGGCCTTGTGGAAGTCTCTTGGGGACCTCTTGGGGGGCCCTTTCGGGGTCTCTTGGGGGTCTCTTGGGGGCCTCTTCGGAGCATCTTCGGGCCTCCCGGGCGCCTGGTCGGGCAATCTTGGAAGAGATGGATCGAGGGAAGGGGGGGGGGGTCCTAAATTATCGCTGCCTCGTGGATCGCCCGCCTCTGGGGCCACTTTTGCGGGCGCTTTGGAGCGCTCTTGGGGCCCTCTTGGGCCTCTTTTGGCGCTCTCTTGGGCCCTCCAGGAGCCATCTTGGGCCACGGGGGGCAATCGAAAGCAAGAGAGCGGGAAGGCAAACAACGCGTAGATTTTCGGTAGGTGCTTGATGCTGGCGCCCTGGGGCGTCCTGGAGGGGAGGGGCTTCGTGGTCATTTGGATCAGTCTTGGGGCGATGTGGGGGCCTCTTGGAGCATGTTGGGAGCCATGTTGAGCTATCGCGGGCTATCTTGAGCCATCTTGGTAGTCATCTTGGGCCCCCTGAGGCGCTCTGAATATATCCTGGGCCATCTTGGAAGCTCCAGTGGGTCGCGAGTCCAGGTCCAGGGGGGAAGTGTTTGGGGGAGTTGTGAACCCCTCACCGAGGGGTGGGAGGGGAAGCTGGGAGAGGAAATGCCTTAAACCAGTCACTCCCAGAGGGCTCGTGGGACTTCGCAACCTTGCGCTCGTTTGGAGGGGCGGCTGGTTCTCTTTTGGCCACTACGGCGCGTGCAATGAATCGTTGACGGAACCGTTGTGTGTCGTTCGACTGCCCTGTAAGAAAGAGCCCGCGAATTGGGGGCGTGGTATTTCCCTTTGCTGCGCCGCTGCCGCAGCTGCCCCTCGTCCGCTCACGCCCCCGCCCGCCCCCCGTCGACCCCGGAAAAAAGGAGGGAAGATGGAGAGAATGAGGAGGAGATACGGACTCCATCTTCTGATCGATGTCATCCAACATGCCCCCCTTCGGGGGGGGGGGAGGGGGCGCGAAAACCGCCCGAGGCCCACGAGAGGGCCCCCAAGCGAGCCCCAAGACGGCCCAGGAAGGCCCCAACACGGCCCAAGACGCCCCCACGACGGCGCACGAAAGCCCGAAGATGCAGCCCGCGAGAAGTGATTTGAGCAAGATTCGGAAGCTTTTCCTTCCAAATTGTCTTCCAGATCTCCCAAAGTCCTCCCAGGAGACGCCAGAAGAGTTCCCGAGAGGTTCCCAACCGACCGCTAGAGGCCCCCTTTCATTGCCCCTAGGGGGCCCCGAGACGCCCCCAAGAGGTAGTATCCAATATACTTTCAGGAGGAAGGGCCGTGTCAAGTTTTCGGAAGCTCGTCAAGAAGCAGCTTGTAAAACTAATTGGACCATCGATGTTTGTTTTGCACTCGGGGGCCTCATGGGCGCCCCTTGCAGCCTTCTCGGGCGGGCGCCATTTTCGGCCATCTTGTTGCCTTTTTGTGTCGTCCCGAGGTTTTCTCGGGCAGTCTTGCGGCCGTCTTGGGGGCTTTCGGGGCCGTCTTGGGGCGAGCTTCGTCATGCTCGGGCGGCATGTGCTTCTTTTGGGGCCGATTGGAGGCCGAAGAGGGCGCCAGGGGGCGCAGTCCGATGGGGGCGGTTTTGCAAGCACGCGTGAAACGAGAGGGTCGGCTCAACCACAAAATTTAACACCAGCTGTTCAACAGAGGGCCACTCCAATACGCACAATCCGTGCAGGCACAGTGGCGGATAACAGTAGTTCGCGTCATGACATATTCAAAACATCACAAAATACAGCATTGCGTTGCATTGCGCCGCGTCGCTCCGCATTGCACTGCGTTGCCTTGAGCCTTTCCTGGGGGTCCGTCGTGGAGCCGTACCCAGTTTTTTTCAAGTACGCGCGGCCTGAGCGACGTATCTGGGCGTTCGCATGGACGTTTCTGCGGCCCGAGCGAGATTCGAGGCTTGCGCGAGACACGACGCGTGAGAGTGACTTTTCGCTGGTGGCCTTTGGTGAGCGGCTTTCTGGTCCTCGGTGGGGGGCCCTTGTCGCCGCGGCCGGACGCAGCTCGAGAAACGAGTCAGTTTGGGCCCCGGGAGGGGTGCGGGGACTGATTTTGAGCGAAAATGTGCGCACCAAAGGTCGCTCCTGCCAGAGGTCATCACTCTTGCGTGGAGACGACTCAGGCCTGTTCCGCGGCGCGCGCGGGGCGTCGAGCGGCGGCGTTCGCGAGGGGGGGGGCGATGGGGGGGGGGGGGGGGGCGGCCAAGGGGGCAGCTACACGCATGTTTTTTACATGAACAACTTGCCTCTTGGCGCACCCCCGCCGGCCCATCCAGAAACGGCGCCGAGGCAAGTAAACGGCAAACAGGCAAGCAGAGGGGGTGGGATCGTCTATCGGGGCAGCCGTTTTCTCTCGAAGAGGGGGGGGGGAGACGAGGAGTAGGAGGAGTAGGAGGAGCAGGATGAAGGGGGAGGAGGACGCGGGGGAGGCGGCGGGAGGAAGGAAATGCGGGGAACGCGGAGGGAGGAGGGAGGCGGGGGGGAGGGGAGGAAGGGGGGGGCGGGGAAGGAAGGGGAGGGGGGTGGGATAAGAAAGCGGGGAGGAGTGAAAGGAATTGGGGGGGGCGGGGGGGGGGGGGGGGGGGGGGGGGGGGGGGGGGGGGAGAGGGCGAAATCGGCGGCGTGGGATGGGAAAAACGAAAGGAAATAGGCTGGGCGGGGGGGGGAAGGCGGGGGTGAGGAGGAGGGACGTAAAGTGAGGAGGAACGGGGAGGAAGGAGGAGGAGGGAGTAGGAGGGAGGAAGAGGAAGGAGGGAGGAGGGATGGGGGGACGGGGGGGCGAGGAGGAGGAGGACGAGGAGGAGGAGGGGGAATGGGCGGACGAAGGGAGAGGATGGCGAGTAGAAGGGACGGGGCCCTTGGATTCCATAGCTCTGAAGCGTCGGGCCCTTGGCTTTGGACCTGGCGGCCCACTCGTGTTCAATGTCCCGGTCGGCGGCTTTGAAATCCGGGGCCAAGGGGTCCGGGGCCGAGGGGCCCGAACCCCTGGAGTTTATCGTCTTGGGTTCAAGGTTGATGCACCCATAGCCCGTGAATCCTTAGTTTGGCAATCTCGCGCGTCGGAGCCCAAGGTCAGCGCGACCTGTGGGCCTTGTGGGCCTCAGGGGCCTGTGGGATTCATGGGGCATGTCAGAGTGAGGGGGCCGAACGGTCATTCACTGTCCCTGGGTGCGTGGCTGAAGTGAAATTCCGCGGTGCGGATTCTCGTTGTTGTTGTTGTTGTTGTTGGTTGTTGTTGTTTGTTGTTGTTTGTTGTTGTTTGTTGTTGTTTGTTGTTGTTGTTTGTTGTTTGTCGTTTGTTGTTGTTGTTGCTGTTGTTTGTTTGTTTGTTTGTTTGTTGTTGTTGTTGCTGTTGCTGTTGCTGTTGTTGTTGTTGTTGTTGCTTGTTGTTATTTGTTGTTGTTTGTTGTTGTTGTTTGTTGTTTGTTGTTGTTGTTGTTTGTTTGTTTGTTTGTTTGTTTGTTTGTTTGTTGTTGTTGTTGCTGTTGTTGTTGTTGTTGTGTGTTGTTGTTTGGTGTTGTTTGGTGTTGTTGTTTGTTGTCGTCGTCCCACCCGCAACCCGCCCCGCGACCACCCCGCGACCCACCCCGCGACCCACCCCGCGACCCACCCGCACCCACGCCGCGACCCACCCGCGACCCACCCCGCGACCCGCCCCGCGACCCAACCCGCGACCCAACCCGCGACCCACCCCGCGACCCACCCCGCGACCCACCCCTCGACCCACCCGCGACCCACCCGCGACCCACCCCGCGACCCACCCGCGACCCACCCGCGACCCACCCGCGACCCACCCCGCGACCCACCCCGCGACCCACCCCGCGACCCACCCCGCGACCCAACCCGCGACCCACCCCGCAACCCCCCCGCGGCCCACCCCGCGACCCACCCGCGACCCACCCGCGACCCACCCGCGACCCACCCGCGACCCACCCGCGACCCACCCCGCGACCCACCCGCGACCCACCTTCGACCCAAACCACGTTCAAGGTACAAACCACCATTTTCGGCGCCTGCGGCGGGCTTTTTTTGCATTCCTTCCAGGTGGGGGGCCCGCGACCCACCCCGTGACCAACTCGCGACCAACCCGCGATCCGAACCACGTTCAGGGTACAGACTACGTTTTTCGGCGCTTGCGGCGGGCATCTTTTGCATTCGTTCCCGGTGGAGAACCCGCGGCCCACCCGCGACCCAAACCACGTTCAGTGTACAAACCAATGTTTGTTGGCGCCTGCGGCGGGTTGCTTCTTGCATTCCTTCCAGGGGTAGGTGGAGAGCCCGCGACCCACCCGCGACCTAAACCACGTTCACTGAACAAACCAATTCCGCACAAACGCGGCGGCGGATTTTCGCATGCCGTCTGAGCCCGCAAGGACCTCTTCAAGCCCCGCGCATCCACGCCAGCCCGTCCAGCAACTTTGCCCTGGCGAGTTGCCTTGATCAGAGAAGGCGGGGAGCATAAAGTGGAAAAAAGGATTGCGTTGCAGTTATCTTGGGAAAGGAGGGGGAGGCAGGATGAGTAAACAGGGGACGAGGAGAACGCGGAAGAAGAGAGGATGTAAGGACAACGTGGAGAAAGAAAAGGAGGAGGAGCAGGAGGACGAGGGGGAGGAGGGGGAGGAGGGGGAGGAGGAGGACGAGGAGGGGGAGGATGGGGAGGATGATGATGATGGACGACAATGGGAGGACGATGATGGAGGCCGATGAGGGGGAGGACGACAATGGGAGGACGATGATGAAAGGACGAGGGGGGGAGAGGGAGGACGAGGAAAAACAGGAGGAGGAGGGAGGAGGAGGAGGAGGACGACGACGACGATGAGGACGAGGACGAGGAAGAGGGCGAGGAACAGGAGGAGGAGGAGGAGGACGAGGAGGAGGAGGAGGAGGAGGAGAAGATCGCCATCGACAGGGAAAGTGGGGGCCACGAGGTCCGCCGGCTCGACGACGCCCGCGTCGCCCGCGCCCGCCCCCTCACTCTTATCCGCAATTGCGGGGTGCTGCGTATGATTTGGGTGGCCTGTGAGACCCGTGGTGCTTTTGCGAATTGTCGGGCCTGTGGCGCCGGTGGGGCACACTCGATGTGCGGCGCTGGTGCGACATGTGGGACCACGTGTGATTCTGGGACCTGCGGGGCGTGTGCGGTCCATGGTGTTTGTGGAACCTGTGGGGCCCGTGGGGTTTGCGGAGCCTGTGTGGCTTGTGGGTCCTCGGGGTCTTGTGGGATCCTGCGTGGTTTCTGGGGCCTGGGGGGCCTGTGCGTTATGTGGGACTTCTGGGGCCCACGACACCGTCCCCCCAGGCCGCCCCCCCGCGCTCTGATGAATCCAGGGCCCGAATATTATCAATTCTCGGTACCAGAATTGACAATTCTCGGACCGAAAATAACTTGTGTTTGGCAGACGAACCACTTTAGTAAAGCGGGCACGCCACTTTATTAAAGCGGGCACGCCACTTTAGTAAAGTGGACGAAGGGGTTCGTTTGCTGTAAAATGCCAAGCAACGCCACTTTAGTAAAACGGCAGCGACACTTTACTAAAGCGGACAGGACACTTTAGTAAAGCGGACACGCCACTTTACTAAAGCGGGAAAGCCACTTTAGTAAAGCGGACAAGCCCACTTTAGTAAAGCGGAAATCCCACGTTAGACAAGCGGAAGAGGCATTTTTAGTACAGTGGGATTGCGCTCCCGCGGGCGGGGCGCGCGGAGCACGTTAGGACCAAAGGTTAGCCCCAGAGAATGTCAATGTGACGGGGGGGGCAACAGCGGCGGCGACGACGTCGTCGAGAAGCCGTCCCCCCAGCGCGCGGGGGGCACGCGCGGCGGCGCGCGGAGGGGGGAGCGGGCCCGAATTCCCAGGCGGGGGAAAAGCCTCCCAGGCCCCAGTACGAATCCCCAAACGCCCCGAAGAACCCCGAGGGATCCCAACACCGCACAAACGGAGCCAACACCGCACAAACGGAGCCAACGCCGCACAAACGGAGCCAACACCGCACAAACGGAGCCAACGTCGCACAAACGGAGACAGCACCGCACAAACGGAGCCAACACCGCACAGACGCAGCCACCGCCGCACGAACGGGGCCAACACCGCACAAACGAAGCCAACACCGCACAAACGGAGCCAACACCGCACAAACGAAGCCAACGCCGCACGAACGGAGCCAACACCGCACAAACGGAGCCAACACCGCACGAACGGAGCCAACACCGCACAAACGGAGCCAACGCCGATCAAACGGAGCCCTCCTTCTTTTTATGTTCTCTTCACGATGATTGCGCTGGGGCAAAGAAGGCGCAGTGCTCGTAGGAGGGCCGCCACTTTCCATGAACACCCTCGTCTCCTCGGCCGCCTCGTCGTGCCGCCCCCGTCCCCCGCGCCGCCAGCTTGAGCCGTAGGGGGCCTTGGCGATGGGTGCAAGTGCGATCGCAAATTGAACGGCCCCGGGGGAGGTTTGAGACCCAGCTTCGTGCTGTCACCCTGGGTAGCACGGTGGTCGCAGGCGGCCATCGTGGCCGACGCTCAAGGTCGGCCGGGGCAATCGCTGGGCAGATCGAGGCCGAGCTCTGGGTGATTCCCAGTGGCGCCGCTGGTTCCCTCCGCGCGCAATATCCCGACTGTAGTGGGAATGTTTGGGCTTGGACTGAGTTGGAACATGCGGCTTGGATCTCTGGGCAACTGGCTTGGAGTTCTTTACACAGGACAGACCCCCGGCGCGTGCGCGCGCGTCGGAGTTCTGTGTTGTCCACAATAGAAAAGTCGTTATGCCATTCTAAAAACTGAATTCTAAATTTCTGTGGCCCTTTATGGAGGCCGTCGGGCGCGTCGACTTCTCTATTGTGGGCGCTACAGACCCCCGGCGCGCGCGCGCGCGCGCGCGCCTCGGAGTTCTGTGTTGTCCACAAAAGAAAAGCCGATATGCAAACCTAAAAACTGAATTCTAAAATTCTGTGGCTCTTTGAGGACCGACGGGCGCGTCGACTTCTCTTTTGTGGGCATTGGAGACCCCCGACGCGCGCGCGCGTCGGAGTTCTGTGTTGTCCACAATAGAAAAGTCGATATGCAGTTCTACAAACTGAATTCTAAAATTCTGTGGCTCTGTAAGGAGGCCGACGGGCGCGTCGGAGTTCTGTGCTGTCCACAATAGAAGAGTCGGTATGCAGTTCTACAAACTGAGTTCTAGAATTTTGTGGCTCACTAAGGAGGCCGACGGGCGCGTCGACTTCTCTATTGTGGGCGCTGCAGACTCCCGACGCGCGCCGGAGTTCTTTGTTGTCCACAATAGAAAAGTCGATATGCAGTTCTACAAAATGAATTCTAAAATTCTGTGACTCTTTAAGGAGGCCGACGAGCGCGTCGGCTGCTGTATTGTGGGCACTACAGACCCCGACGCGCGCGCGCCGGATTTCTGCGTTGTCCACAAGAGAAAAGTTTATATGCAAATCTAAAAAGTGAATTCTACATTTCTGTTGCTCTTTCAGGAGGCCGACGGGCGCGTCGACTTCTCTATTGCGGGCGCTGCAGACCCCCGGCGCGCGCGCGCGCGTCGGAGTTCTGTGTTGTCCACAATGGAAAAGTCGACGTGCAATTTCAAAAACCGAATTCTAAATTTCTGTGGCTCTGTAAGGAGGCCGACGGGCGCGTCGACTTCTCTATTGTGGGCACTACAGACTCCCGCCGCGCGCGCGCGTCAGATTTCTGCGTTGTCCACAAGAGAAAAGTCGATATGCAAATCTAAAACCTGAATTTTAAATGTCTGCGGCTCTTTAAGGAGGCCGTCGGGCGCGTCGACTTCTCTATTGCGGGCGCTACAGACCCCCGACGCGCGCGCGCGTCGGAGTTCTGCGTTGTGCACAAAAGAAAGCCGATGTGCACATCTAAAAACTGAATTCTAAATTCTGCGGCTCTTTAAGGGGGCCGACGGGCGCGTCGACTTCTCTATTGTGGGCGCCACAGACCCGCCCTGCGCGCGCGTCGGATTTCTGTGTTGTCCACAAGAGAAAAGTCGATATGCAAATCAGAGTGAGGGGGCCGAGCGGTCATTCACTGTCCCTGGGTGCGTGGCTGAAGTGGAATTCCGCGGCGCGGATTCTCGTGGTTGTTGTTGTTGTTTGTTGTTGTTTGTTGTTGTTTGTTGTTGTTGTTTGTTGTTGTTTGTTGTTGTTGTTTGTTGTCGGCGTCCCGCCCGCAACCCGCCCCGCGACCCGCCCGCGACCCGACCCGCGACCCGCCCCGCGACCCACCCGCGACCCACCCGCGACCCACCCGCGACTCACCCCGCGACCCACCCCGCGACCCACCCCGCGACCCACCCCGCGACCCACCCCGCGTCCCGCCCCGCGACCCACCCCGCGACCCACCCCGCGACCCGCCCGCGACCCACCCGCGACCCACCCGCGACCCACCCCGCGACCCACCCCGCGACCCACCCCGCGACCCACCCCGCGACCCACCCCGCGACCCACCCCGCGACCCACACCGCGATCACCCCGCGACCCACCCGCGACCCACAAACCCGCCGCGACCCACCCCGACCCACCCCGCGACCCACCCGCGACCCACCCCGCGACCCACCCGCGACGCCACCCGCGACCCAACCCCGCGACCCACCCCGCGACCCACCCGCGACCCGCCCTCGACCACCCCGCGACCCACTCCCGCGACCCACCCCGGACCCACCCCTCGACCACCCCGCGTTCCCGCCCCTCGCTTCACCCGCGACCCACTCCGCCTACCCGACCCGCGACCACTCAGCGACCCACCCGCGACCCACTCCCGCGACCCACCCCGCGACCCCCCCGCTAACCCACCCCGACCCCGCCCGCGACCCACCCCGCGACCCACAACGTGACACCACCCGCGACCCACCCGCGACCCACCGCGACTCCACCCGCGCCCACCCCGCGACCCACCGCGACCCACCTTCGACCCCTACCCCCGTTTTGAAGGTAAACAAACCCATTCTCGCGCCTGCGGCATTTTTTTTTGTTTTTTTTTTTTTTTTTGCATTCCTTCCAGGCGGAGAGCCCGCGACCCACCCCGTGACCAACTCGCGACCAACCCGCGATCCAAACCACGTTCAGGGCACAGACCGCATTTTTTGGCGCCTGCGGCGGGCATCTTTTGCATTCGTTTCAGGTGAAGAGCCCGCGAGCCACCCGCGACCACGCTCAGGGTGCAAACTACATTTTTCGGCGCCTGCGGCGGGTATCTTTTGCATCCGTTCCCGGTGGAGAGCCCGCGGGCGGCGACCCAAACCACGTTCAGTGGGCAAGCGAATTTTTGTTGGCGCCTGCGGCGGGTTGCTTTTGCATTCCTTCCAGGTGTAGGTGGAGAGCCCGCGACCCACCCGCGACCTAAACCACGTTCGCTGAACAAACCAATGCCGCGCAAACGCGGCGGCGGATTTTCGCGTGCCGTCTGAGCCCGCAAGGGCCTCTTCAAGCCCCGCGCATCCACGCCAGCCCGCCCAGCAACCTTGCCCTGGCGAGTTGCCTTGATCAGAGAAGGCAGGAAGCATAAAGTCGAAAAAAAGGACTGCGTTGTAGTTATCTTGGGAAAGGAGGGGGAGGCAGGAGGAGTAAACAGGGGACGAGGAGAACGCGGCAGAAGAGAGGATGCAAGGAACATGTGGAGAGAGAAAAGGAGGAGGAGCAGGAGGACGAGGAGAGGGGGGGCGGGAAGGGGGAGGACGAGGAGGGGGGGGAGGGGGGGGATGATGGTGATGGACGACAATGGGAGGACGATGATGGAGGCCGATGAGGGGGAGGACGACGATGAAAGGACGAGGGGGGGAGAGGGAGGACGAGGAAGAACAGGAGGAGGAGGAGGGAGGAGGAGGAGGAGGGCGATGACGACGAGGACGAGGACGAGGAAGAGGAGGGGGGGAGGAGGAGGAGGAGGAGGAGGAGATCGCCATCGACAGGGAAGGTGGGGGCCACGAGGTCCGCCGGCTCGACGACGCCCGCGTCGCCCGCGCCCGCCCCCTCACTCTTATCCGCACTTGCGGGGTGCTGCGTCTAAAATCTGAATTCTACATTTCTGTGGCTCTTTAAGGAGGCCGACGGGCGCGTCGACTTCTCTATTGCGGGCGCTACAGACCCCCGACGCGCGCGCGCGGCGGAGTTCTGCGTTGTGCACAAGAGAAAAGTTGATATGCAATTCTTCAAACTGAATTCTAAAATTCTATGGCTCTTCAAAGAGGCCGACGGGCGCGTCGACTTCTCTATTGTGGGCGCTACAGACCCCCGACGCGCGCGCGCGTCGGAGTTCTGTGTTGTCCACAATAGAAAAGTCGACATGGAAGTTTATAAACCGAATTCTAAATTTCTGTGGCTCTTTAAGGAGGCCGACGGGCGCGTCGACTTTTCTATTGTGGGCGCTACAGAACCCGCGCGCGCGTGTCGGAGGTCCATAGCAGGCTGGGTCCATCTGTCGGGCCGCCCTCCGTCGCCGTCGCGCCGCGCGCGGGGGGTGGGAAACAGGCTGTGTATCTGTCGCGGCCCCGCCGGTCGCTGTCGCACCGTTGGCCAGGCCGACATGCGCAGCTATGTGCAATCCATGCGTCTGGCCACCCCCCCCCCCGTCGCCGTCGCACCGCGCGGGGCGGTCCGGAAACAAACGAACTGTCTATCTGTCGCGGCCTCGGCGGCCGCTGTCGTGCCGTCGGCGAACGTGCCTGGTTGCGTGCTGTGCATCTGTCTGGCCACCCGCCGTCGCCGTCGCACCGAAAATATTGCGCGCCACGCATGGTTGAACTTCGCTGTCCACGGCGCGCCCATCGCACATCGCACAACTGTATACAATCATGTCTCAATAGTTCCGCGCGGCGGACAGATCGTTGTTGCGCATCCGTCCGCGACGGGCCCGTCGCCGCCGCATCGGGGAGATCAGAGTGGAAGGCGCCCCCTCATTAAATCTCGCCCACGGGGAATGCTAAATTGCGCCCATGGAGAAGATGAATCGCACCCGCTGCGAAAATCAATCGCACCCGCGGAAATGAATCGTGTTCGCGGAAAAAATGCATCGCGCCCACGGAAGAATAAACCGCGCATATCACCCTCGGGGAAAATAAATCGCGCCCGCGGAGAAACAATCGCGCGAGGGGAGAACATAGATCTCGCCCGCGGCGAAGAAAACGCATTCACGGAACATTGAACCGCGCCCACGGAGAAAATCGATCGCGTCCACGGGGAAAATAAATCGCGCCCATGGAGGGAATAATTCGCGCACGCGGCTAAACACAACCGCGCCCGCTGAGTAACAAAAACAATAGCACCCAGGGGAATGAATTCGCGCCCGCGGGAAAATCGCCCGCGCGGAGAAAAAACAATCGCGCCTTCGGAGCAATAATCGCGCGCGCGAAGAAAATGCATCGCGCCCGCGGGGGGGGGGAACCGCGCCCGCGGAGCAAATCAACCACAACCACGGAGAAACTGATTTGCAGCCGCGGAGAAAATAAATCGCGCCCGCGGAGAAAATCAATCGCGCCCACGGGGAGAACGCACCCCTGGGGAAAATGCATCGCGCCCGCGGGGGATGTCCATCGCGCCCTTGGAGAGAATAGATCGCACCCATGGGGGAAATAGATCG